TAACAATAAAAAATGGTTCCAAAATTATTCTAGTGTTGAAATTCCAAAAAATATATCCGACTTTTTATCACTCGGTCCCAAATTTAGCGTACCAGCCAATAATAATCAGTTTCTAAATCAAAATTTTTTGGCTGACATAGAAAATATTATTGATGTTGTACCGGACAATTCTAAAGATATTATGAGGGCAAAAGTTGCAAACGCATTCACAAACTACATGCACAACAATAATAGTAATGGTTCTTCTCGCTTCTACACAATGTTTAAAGAAGCTAAACATTTTTTGAATGCACATCCTGACTTGTACATACTGCAAGCGGACAAGGGTGGTTGCACTGTTGCTATAGACAAAACCACATATATTCAAAAAACAATGGAATTATTAAACGATTCGACCACCTACACACGACTTAACCGCGACCCTACTACTTCGATACAATTAACTTACAATAGGATAATTAAATCATTAAAAACAAAGAGAGAGCTTTCTGACAGTGAATGTAAACAACTATCGATCTATAATTCATCCTTTCCAAAGTTGTATTGTTTGCCTAAGATCCATAAAACAGATATCCCCCTGAGACCAATAGTAAGCTCAATTAACTCTGTTACGTACAACATATCGAGATTTATGGCTAATATCCTTAAAACTACGTTTACAAACACAAATGACTATAATGTAAAAGATTCATTTAACTTTGCCAACATGATCAGCAGTTACGTACTCCCTGACAATTATGTTTTGATTTCATTGGATGTCGTATCGCTCTTTACTAATATTCCTCTCGAATTGGTAAATCAGATTTTGGATAATGAATGGAAAAAGATAAAAGAACACACTAATCTTACAAAGACAAATTTTTTCAAACTTATAAAATTTATTTTTGATAACACCTATTTTAGTTTCAATTCAAAATTCTACAAACAAATTTTTGGTACCCCAATGGGTTCTCCCATCAGTCCAATACTTGCTACCCTAGTATTGGACCATTTACTAGATCAAATTATACCCAAATTACCTTTCAAATTACCTTTTATTTATAAATATGTTGACGATCTTCTTTGTGCGGTACCATGTGACCAAACAGATATAACCTTGAGTATTTTTAATTCTTTCAACACCAACCTACAATTCACAATTGAACATGAAAAAGACTCCTATGTCCCCTTCTTAGGTACCAAGGTTATTAGAACTAACAAAAATGAAATTATTTTGGATTGGTACCAGAAAAAACTGCCTCAGGTAGGTTTATTAATTATTATTCCTCTCATCCACAGAACCAAAAATATAATACAATTATAGGCATAAAAAACAGAGTTACACATTTGAGCCATGAAAGTTTTGTTCAAAATAACCTGAAAAAAATTTTCAACGTTTTTGTCAATAACGGATATCCAAAACATATACTTAAGAGATTAATCTATAACTCCAACACATTTGACGGTCCAACAGAGGAACCAGACGCTCGGATGTGTTACAGAAAGATACCTTATATTAAAAACCTCACAGAATTTATCATAAATATTTTCAAAGAATTCAAGGAAATAAAAATTGCTAAATATAATACTGAAAAAGTCTCCAAACTTTTTTCTAGAGTGAAAGATCCAACTCCGCTACTATATAACTGTAATGTCATATATCGATTGTCGTGTTTGGGTTGTCAAGGCTGTTATATTGGACAGACCTCACAGTGGTTAAAACAACGTTTAACACAGCACAAAAGTGATTGCCGTATTCATAGGAATACTTGTGCAGTGGTTGAGCATTACATAAAAACAGGACATGAATTTGACTACAGCAATCCAAAAATTTTGCACTGTGTCAATAATTATAAAGCCCGATTGTTTCTTGAAATGTGCCATATTAACAAAAACTAAGATTCAATTAATTACAAGTCTGATACACAACAAATAAGCAATATATACTGTAACATTTTTCAGTTAAACCACAGATAATGTAATGTTCGGCCACCGAGTAGCGTATTCGCGTTGCGTTGTTGATCCACGGAGTAGGTTATTTTGATGCCCCTTTTTTTGTCATTATTTAGATCGATTGTTTTTTTTTTATTGTTTTTTTTTTGTTTTTTTCGCTACCCCCGTTAGCGCAACTTTTGCCTACCATTATTAAGAATTGTATACTAAGTGTTTATCCGTTTGTTTCATTATGTTGCTTCGTTGATTTACCTTAACTGTAAAGTATGGTTTTTGAGGAACTATGTGGTAGACTCTAATTTTGTAAGTATTTCTCACGATTGTTTTAATTGTCTGTTATATAGTTTGACCTGTTGTGTTCATTAAATTTTAGTTCACTCCTGAAGAAGTCAACAAATAAATTGACGAAATATTGTGTGTTAAAGAAAAAAGGAGCTTTCTATTTTAACCACGGACCGCTACCCGATATCCTTTGAATTCAAATATATATATATATATATATATATATATATATATATATATATATATATATATATATATATATATATATATATATATATATATATATATATATATATATATATATATATATGTATATGTAATAGAGGCCCTGGAAGGAGATTTGAAATTCCGTCTTGGCAATGGCAATGGCAGTTCTAATTGCGGCTTCCAACAACCAATATGGTCGCGGGCAGGTCGTCAATGTTTGGATGCTGCATTTTTACGGCAGTATTTTCTCAAATATGTCGAAATCCCATTAAATGTTTAGGCAAAAAGGGAATTAAGGTGTAGAAAGCGTTATTAAAAACATTAGCGACAAGTGCTGAGTTAATATTATGCTAAATTACAGGACACGAATCGGCGCCCTTAGTATAATTCTGTAAGTATGTTAGCGGTTTGGTTCTTTAAGCGCTATTTGCACAATTTTTTTTTTATTAAACTTATTGGTTTAACCTCTATTGAAAATTTAAATAAAGTGGAATTCACGAAATGTGACTCTAAAAAACCATTATGATATCAAAAATTGATTGGTGGCTACCGCAAAAAAATCCCCGTAAAAAATATTTATCAGCAATTGTTAAATGCTAAATATACATGTAGAAATTGCATTATGTCCACCGGGCTTTAAATACTAGTATTCATTCACACAATAACTTAGCTATATTTTATTGCAATCTGGATTCAAATGTAAAATTTTTTAGAAGATTACCACCTAAAAATTGGAAAAAAGAAGATGAAAGCAGTAAAAAAAAATATTTATAATATATTAAACTATTATTAATTATTAGTAGAATAACTAAAGCAAAAATGTAAATAACTGCAAATTCAAAACAAAATTTAAATCAGAAGCACTTTACTTGTTGCTAATATGTTACTATGCCTTAAGTTCTTTCTAAAAACTGATGACCGCTGGTTATTCTGTGCCAGGCGTCTCTATAACTTGTAATGTTGTGTTTACTACCACTGGAGATTAAGGATCTGCTGAAGAAATTATTATTTTGACTTGTTGGAAATAAAGTCCAAAAACGCCCCCCAATCAACAAAAATTTCTCTTATATTCAGGATGGAAAATTTTCAGTCACAAATTCTGCAGGAAAAATATCAATAAGTTGGTAATATATTACCAACAAAATAATATTTTTGAGAAATGTGGAATTATTTGATAAATTTTATCAGTCGGGTCAAAAAAAAAGGTACCATTTGGCACTCTAAATATGGGCTGTTAAGTACCATCGCCAAAGATAATGACCAAAAAACAAGTAACCCGATTTAAAACTGATAACAATATCTACCTAAAAAGCACTACACAACCTACTTTATGAAGTGTTTACCACCTTTCCCATAGCTTAAAGGGATGATGTGACCCTCACATATGCATATTCTATAAAGCTATCAGCCTCCCTAGCACCTTTTGGTAAAGTAAAAAATAAAAATGTAAATTGAATGACATTACATGGATATGTGATTATTATATCAAAACTAGGAGACAGACGTATATGCAAGTCTACAAAAAAAATGGGATAAAGGACGTGGATCAGTCCCATAACTGTCCAAAAACTTGTACTAAATAGTTATTCACACAAAGGAGGTAGGTGATAATTACGAGTCAATGAAATAGCTTACTCTAGAGCCACGCAAGGGTTGGGAAAATAGTCGAAGACTAAGTAAGATCCCTTCTTTTGAAGTTGTTCATACAATATTTTTTGCTACTCAAGTTGTCCCAAATCCAACAAGCAGATTTACAAAATCGGTATTTATTGATAGAACTGCAGATAGTTGGGGGTGACGCATGCGCAAAAAATCCACACCTTCTCTACGAGAATATCATAGCCACCTACGAGTCCTGCGACGCATCACGTTTTACCGTATAAGGGTCACTATATTGTCTTGTAGCTACATGATTTTGACATATATTAACATACCAGAAGGCAGGCAAACTTTTTAATGTGCTTCTCTATGACATACACATGAGGGCAACCAGAAAGTTTTTTTTATTTCTAGTTTTGATACATACAAAAAATCTACTCCCAAGGGTTTGCAAAATGTGGCAACGTTTGGGAATAATAAAAACTTGGATTTCCTTGCAATTTTGTCAATTCAGCTAATTGTAGTTTGACCGGGTCTATGGAATTAACCCCTAACCCCCGCTATAAATGCATGTGTCTTCATTTGACAAGATTTTAACAGAACAGTAAATATTGTTCAAATTTCAATTAATAAAAAAACATTCTCCATAAATAATACAATTTAATTATTTCAAACACTTTTTCATGTTGTCACAGAAGGGCAAAATAGCGGCATTCGCAATATTTCTTACAATCAGCCTTGCTCTGCTATAAAAAAAAACAAAATTCTTTTCATGCTTTTTTTTCGCTTTTTTATTTCTATAATTACATAGTAGGAAAATATAAGTACTGGGGTAACCATCCTTTTATTTACCGATGATGTTTTGTCGTGTAATTCAAATATCCTTCTAAGCTTTGACCGAATGGTTGTGGCGTTTTTCGAGAATAGAAGTAGACAAAAAGATGAAGAACTTAACCACAGACCACGAATATGACCTTACCTAAACTACTTTTTTTTGTCTATGTTTTCGGTTAACGTGGTGGCTAAAAATTATAAAAATAAAATACTTTTCAGTTATTTCAAAGTAGAGAGATGAAAAAATCTGTTGAATATCTCGTTGCTGATACTACAGCTTTTATACAGCAAGCACCATTACATGTAAGTAATTTTTTTTTCTTTACTATTTCCATTGTCCTCATAACCTTTTTTAGGAAGTTGCAGATGTTATTCTTACATGTCAAGAAGTACTAGACGAAATTACCAATAGGAGGCAGTTAAGAAGATTGGTTACATTGCCATTTGATCTAGTAATTAAAGAAGTTTTTCCAGACAATGTTAAATTAGTAACAGAATTTGCAAAGAAAACTGGTGATTACCCGAGCCTCTCTGCCACCGATATTAAAGTCATTTCTTTAACTTATCAACTACAAAAAGAAAAGGTTGGTACAAATCACCTAAGAAGTGAACCAATTTTGCAAAAACCCCTAGTAACCACAGAAAACCCAGATCCCGTGACATCTGACATTACTGGGTTTTTTGCACCAGTGAGTGAAAAAAATAACAGTAGAATTGATACTATCAGATCTAAATAAATTCTCTTTCAGAATGAAATAGACACAGATAATAAAGCTCAACAAAATAGCAAGAATTTGGATTCAATGTTAGCAGAAAATTTTGAAAAACTAGTTTGTGATGACAGTCAAGAGCAATTAAATGATTTGGATAGTGGTAACGATTACAATGAAAGTGGTTGGATCACTCCTTCTAATATATCTGTTGTCAAAACCCAATTGAATTCTCAACTTATGGAGGAAAAACATGTCCCAGTAGCCTGTATGACAACAGACTTTGCGATGCAAAATGTTTTGAAACAAATGAATCTAAACGTGGCAGCATTAAATGGCCACCTAATCAAACAATTAAAAACATATATTTTGAGGTGTTATGCTTGTTTTAAAACTACAAGTATTATGACAAAAAAATTTTGCCCGAAATGTGGCAATGACACTCTAAAGAAAGTAGCCATTTCTTTGGATGACAATGGTGAAATGAAGATCCACATTAATCTGCGAAGACCTTTAACTGCTCGTGGAAAAAAATTTAGTTTGCCAACAATAAAAGGAGGGAAACATCCAAATAACCCAATCTTAGTTGAGGATCAACCCATGCCTGATAATAAACCTACCAGACTTGCAAAAACAAAAACAAACCCCTTAGATGATGACTACATTGCAGGTAAATTATGAATTTATTTTGTAACAATTTTGGTTAATGTGTGTGACAAAATTATTTTTTGTTTAGAATATTGAAAAAGAAACATGTTGAAAGATTTTGTTAATTTTTAGGGTATTCTCCATTTGCTGTGCGTGACATTAACTCCAAATCAGCTCAATTGGGAATTAGACCTGGATCGGACCTTAAATATTGGATGAAACAAAATCCTAATGAGAGCAGAAAAAAAAAACATTAATATATATATATATATATATATATATATATATATATATATATATATATATATATATATATATATATACATACTGCATTACATACAATAGGTGGAATTATGGCAAAAATTGAAGTGGTTGTTATTTCTAGGTTAGACTTAAATTTATACATAATATACATGATTTTGAGTTCTCGAGCTAGTTTTTAAAAGCCTGTTCAAAGCAAACGGTGTGACTGGGATTGTACCAATAAAATTTTGGGTTAATAAACTATCGAAATAGGTCAGTAGGATGTATGGGTACTTATTTATAGAAAAATAAAACAAGGAGTTAAAAGAAATTTTATCATCTTATTACAAAAAAAGCTTTGTTTATCAAGGACGTAAAACAAAAAGCACCATGTATAATACTGAAGAGTATTATTATAATTAAAACATTACTGAAACAGGGTAGTTTAATAAATATTTCATTTCTCGCTGAACTTCAAAGTTACGGAAGTCTTTGGTAAATATAAAAATCTGTACTACAGTACTAGACATTCCCAAAAACATTTTTGCAAATGTGAAGTGCACCCTGTTTGATTTGTAGCTCTCAACATAGTTTATGCTATTTAAATCAAACTATCCCATCTTTTGTCGCTTTTCATTTACCGCCAATAATTTACCCCCAAAAATGGAAACTTTCAAGATCTTCGCCTATAAACGACACACCTTGTATATAATTCAAAAAATGCTTGAAGTAGAGGATATAGCCCTGGATCTACCAAGTTAGTTCATGCATTTTTGAAATAGAGTTAATGATTTTCGACAAAAAAAATTGAAACTATGCAATACGTTGTAACAGTCATCGCGTATGGATTGAGCTTCAAATAAAGCGACTTGCACATGGATTTTTCCAAATATCTCGAGCAGTGTATGTGATAAATACATTATGGTAGTTCTTGATGCAGCCTATAATACAGTTTAATTTAATGAACCATATTTTTTACAAATTTTGATTTACGGCTTATAATTTATTCTATAAAAGAACAATTTTTTAGTCTTATATTTACTTTATTTATTTATATGACAAATTTATCGGTTCACGTTTCGGTCAATTCGACCTTCATTACATCACCGCGATTATATGTCTTTTGTTGTTTTTACACTTTCATAAAAGTAAATGGACAAAATAAATAAAAGTAATGGACAAATATAAGTAAATGGACATAAAATCATAATACATATGAATAGTATGATATTAAAGGTGAAACACAAAATACATTAAAAAAAATTGTGTAATAGAACATACCTTAATCGAAAATGATTTGTTCTTCGGTTAAAATATATACGGACAGATACACAAACGTACATTTGACGAACAAGAGTTTAAAAATGACACTGATAAGCGAGGAAGTGCGCCTCTTTTCATTGCATTGTTTTTTGTTTTTGGTTTGCTTTTTATTTGGAGTTGTTTTTTTTTATATTTATCTAATTAAGTTATGGTAAACTTTATTGAGATTCTTCGTGTGTGTCTTCGAGTTTACGGCGTTGCTATTTTTTTGAATTGCGATCATTCCGTAGATTTCTCGTCGTTTGGAATGGTTTTCAGTACCTAATATTTTTGTTTTTTGAAAATCAAATGAACGTCCAATGTTTGTGGTGTGGTTGAAAAGGGCTGTTTTTTTTTCATATTTATTTCAGTCGGATGCAGGATTCCAGTCGGAGTTCAACAAGCGAGCGGATGATATCCCGGAATATAGTGTCATCACATTTTTCCATCCGTGAATCTACGTGGAAAAAAAAATTTAGAAAATTTCGGGTCTTTTTTTGTCCATTTTGTTATTGGAAAATGGCACCCACTCTTTCGGCGTCCAATAATGAAAAAATAAATAGTTATATCGTTCAAAGAACTACTTGTTTAAATAGTATTAAAAAGGCTATTTTTTTGAATTGCGATCATTTCGTAGATTTCTCGTCGTTGGGAATGGTTTTCAGTACGTAATATTTTTGTTTTTTGAAAATCAAATGAACGTCCATTGTGGTGTGATTGAAAAGGGCTGTTTTTTTTTTCATATTTATTCCAGTCGGATGCAGGATTCCAGTCGGAGTTCAACAAGCGAACGGACGATATCCCGGAATATAGTGTCATCACATTTTTCCATCCGTGAATCAATAGGTGAAAAAAAAAAAAAAATATATATATATATATATATATATATATATATATATATATATATATATATATATATATATATATATATATATATATATATATATATATATATATATATATATATATATATATATCCCACTATCTTCCAAGCGTCCGTACATTAACAATTTGCTATTTTCCGAGCGTCCGTCTACAACCGGGCGTCCATATATGGACGCCCGGATGCAGCGCTATAGAAACGGTATAAACAAGATCTAAGTAGTCTAAATTAAAATTTTCACAAAGACGCTACGATCATAGTAAACTGATTTTTCTTGTATATTGTTAGTTCAGCTGTATACCCGGTAGAGGCGCGAGACCCAGTCTCTGTATATTTTACAAGATATATTCTACTTTCAGCTCGTCGATTTCCAGGCGTCCTCTGTGCCTTTGTTACGTGGCAACACTGTCACTATTAACTTTTGCAGACTGGCGCGAAATTGTGGGGTAACGGCTCTGCTTCGCCTAGTTGTTTTGTTTTTCATATTGAATGAACTCGATTGGCGCTCCGTAGTTCGAGCATGTAGAGACGGTGGAAATAAAGAATTTTATTTTTTTACCACGAATTCGGAAGTAGGCTAAGTTGGAATTAACGTAAACGTAACACAGACTTTTTTTTTTCTATTAAAAAATTAAATAATTAATAAAAGTTTATTTTCGAAATGTGTGGTAAAGAATTCAAAATTTACAAAAATCATATTTATATCCTGTTGCCAATGCCGTACGCTTTATATGATATTAGAATTTAAAACAACATTTTGTGACACATCGCCAAACTCTTTTGTTTCGCTTGCTCTCTTCGTGAGAAAATCCGCTCATTGCATAAAGTTAATCTTTTTTCAACTACTTGTCCGCCGGTTGCATTTTTTTTTACCTTAATTCAATGAACTCGCGTCTGTCTTTACTTAGAAGCCTGACTAGATTGAAGTCAGTCGTTAAAGTCGGACAACAAACGCAATAACAACACCCAAGACTCCAGGTGGGAATCGAACCAACAACTTCTACTGCAAGTCAAGTTGGCAGATCTAACGACTTACCAACCGAGCCATCCTCGATCACTTAAAAAAAATTATATTTTTTATTTAGTTGCACAAATTGCTATTTTTCGATTATTTTATTATTATTGCATTATATAATCTTCAAATCCATGAAGCAACATTATTAAAATGTTTTAAACATTAAACAAAATGGCACCAACAAGTTTTGGTTTTTTATATGCGAATACTATGCAATAACTTCTGAATCTTTTTTAATTTTTGGGCACATTTTTAGATTTATTACTTTCTTCCGATAATTTCTGCTAAAGGCTATTTAGAACGGTGTTCGAAATATTAAAAATATCGAAAATAAATATTTATGTTATAGAAATATTGAACATAAATGGTTGTTTAATGCAATAGGAAAAGAAGTTGTTGGAATTTGCAAATTAAAATATCATTTGCTAAATACTTATCTAAATAATTAGGTAATAAAATATTTTGATTTTATCGTCTAATAATATTTCATTAATATTAATAGGTCGCCTATTAAAGTGCGCAACATATAAGAACTATTTTATTGAACGATTTAAGTTGTTGACTTTTGCTTTTAATCAAACCAAAATAAATGTGAAAAGTAACATTTCTATATTTTAGTAAAAATTATTATTTTGAAATGAACTTTGATAAAAGTTATTCGATAAAAGTGTTCTTTTTAATAGTTATTTTTCTTCATTGTGCCCTAAGATATAAATAAAAATGAAGTTAAACAAGGAATGTGAGGGATGAAAAGTAAAGTACAATAATGTATCACCACTGCCACTGAACAATATTTTCATATATTACTTTTCTTAATGTACCTAAACTTAAATCCTAACAATGAACCTCTGAAATAAAGTATCTTTTTAGGTGATTTTCGACATATTCTCTATAAAGTTTTGCCTCGGGATAAAAAGTGTCTCTTTAGTTCCTTGGATATCATCTAAATTTTTTTCCCAAATTGATTTAAAAAAATCCCCCTTTTACATTCCTGCTCTAAAATACGCATTATACAGTGTGGCTTAAAGACGTTACGTAGGGCTGCGAGCCACTGCGGATATTTCCGGTGATATATTAGCCAGTGCTTTGGTTTGTCGATTCTGATGGTCAAGGTACACGCATATAGTATGCAACACCTTGTAAACTTCTTCTTTCACTCATTTATTAAGCACTCGCTCCATTCGTGCCAAATAAACTAATATGGCGTTTATCAAACTTGTTTAGCAAAGATTTCTGAAGATTTTTTTTTAAAGGAAACTTTCACAGAATAATGTAAGACTATTTACAAATATTCTGCATTCTACCTGCGTCGGTGGTTGATAAATCGAACTTTCTGACGTTTCGCCAACCATTCTGGAGATCTCACAGCTGGTCCTGTTCATAAATTTGACCGTTACAAGAAAAATATGTTCCAGACAAGCATTTTTCAATTTGGTTGAATATGTTTGATTCCAGATTCCCGAATTGCAATATATCTGAAAGAGCTATGTCAAAACTAACCAGAGAAACAGAACAAAAAATATACGACTATGACAAATAGAGTCATAAGCAGTTGCCGAAAACAATAATGACACCGAAATCTCATTCGATCAAATTAAAAATTAATCAATGTAATCGATTCTTCTACCAGGGAAATATCCGAAAATTAATAGAAATCTCTAAACAACCAAACAATCTTAACCGCGACTCTGATTTTCAACAATATGGAAATCCGAGACAATGTTCATGTCACTCTTGTAGCTCCGCCTCTCTCAAACAGTATATCAGTGACTTCAGAATAGAATGTGAGCAAGCTTCACTTAAGCTCTGAGGAAGCCATCAGGATGATTGGTGAAACGTCAGCTAGGTTTATTTATAAACAAAAGATGCAGAAGGGATCTAGAAGATTTGTAAATAGCCTTCTGAAGAAAATGTTAATTTTAACGAGTAACGAATGCCGTTTTCATCGCAGTTGTCTCTGTTCTTTATAATTTTTTTTAATTAAACTAAAATAGTAACTTCTAATTATTCCAAATAACTAACATCGGCCCATTTTAGACCAACATTAAGCACAAACAACACAGTAATATTGCCTCAGTTGGCCAGTTGAAATTATATTACATAATTTCTAAATTAACAGTTTTTCTTAGTTTGGTACCATAATTTATTGATCTGCAAATAAGTCAACTGTCAAGAACTTAGTAAACAATTTAAAAAAATAATATTTAAATATTAGTATTTACTTTTTACAAAACTTCTGGGTTGCATATGCGGCAAAGAATACATTGGAGAAACCGGACGAAAAATATCAACTAGGCTCAAAGAACACGAAAGAGCCTTACGACTAAGACAAATAAATTCATCAGCTGTTGGCGAATTCTTGTATGTAATCAAACAAATCTCTAAACAACCAAAGAATCTTAACCGCGACTCTGGTCTTTACCTGTCA